GGTGGTAGCAGAGGCTTTCATCTGCATAGGTATAAAGCAGTCAGAATTCTATGGTTCTCACTGGAATGTCTCTTCTGAAAAAAAGGAGAGACACCCTCTCCCACCCACATAGACTATGAGAAACTCAGAAAAGCTCAAGTCAACATTTCCACAGCTGGAACTCAGTTTGACATGGATGACATTTATCTCTCTCTTAGCTTGCCTAGCTCCCATTGTTATTTTAAATGATTTGTTTAGAAACATTTCAGTGTAATATGACAAGGAGCGTTTCCAGTCAAAGTCAGTAAAAGACTGGAGATTTTATTTCAGCGGCTAAATGCGTCACACTGTGTTGGGTTGTCCAGTTGCCAGGATAAGTTATGATCTGTTGAAGTGAATCTCGCTTGGCACAATGTAAAGCTTGGAAGGGTTTTCACAGAGTTACGTACGCTTGCAGGATGAACAAATCCACTATTCTGTGTAATACTGTACACTGTATCAAATCAAAAAGTCCTAGAACTGACTGAACAGATGCTTTTTCAAGGAGTGTGAGCCTTCATACTTTTCATAAGACAATGCAGACTTTTGGCTGGATGTTGTTTTCCCTAGCATGAAGATGATTTCAAAAAGTAGTGTTTACACATTCTTTGCCTGTAAAAATTAATATATTTTTGAGACTATAAAGCTTTGCTTCTTGCCCACAACTACCTCATATGTTATATATAAATAATCCATTAGGAAATGCCAGGAATTGCTACGTTTGCTCATGGGTTCAATCCTATGCATACTTTTCCAAGACTAAGCCTCATTGAACTCAATGGAACTTACGGTGGTGTAGACATGTGTAGGATCATGACTTAGGATGCTAGTTTTTACTCTAAAGGAATGACTTGTGTGATTTTAACATCAGATTTTAACATAACAGGGAGGTTTCTGGTATATCATCACTGTAAGAGGCCATTTCAAATTTCAGAAAGGTGTGTGTGTTTGAAGGAACACAGGAACATAGGTAGCAGACTTAATCTGAGTGACACCATTGGTCCAACTAGCTCAGGGGTCAGCAAACTTTTTCAGCAGGGGGCCGGTCCACTGTCCCTCAGACCTTGTGGGGGGCCGGACTATATATATATATATTTTTTTTTGGGGGGGGAGAACAAATTCCTATGCCCCACAAATAACCCAGAGATGCATTTTAAATAAAAGGACACATTGTACTCATGTAAAAACACACTGATTGATAAGGCGATTGGGCTGCATCTGGCCCCCGGGCCTTAGGTTGCCTACCCCTGATCTAGCTCAATATTGTTCACACTCACTGGCAGTGACTTTTCAAGGTTTCAGGCAGGGGTTTCTCTAAGCCCTACCTGGAGATACCAGGGAATGATCCTGGGACCTTCTGCATGCAGATCACATGCCACTGAGCTGCATGGCCATAACAGTTCTTGGACACCTTCAGGTTTAAATAGCACATTTTTGAAAGTTGGAATTCATTGCTTGGAATTCCACTGGTCTAAACTCTGTTGTGAACTTACAGAAAATACAGATTTGGTTCTTGTCCCTCAGTTCTTGTCTGCTATTTCACATGCGGGGAAAGTACCTTGGGTATAAGGTATGGAGAGGGAAAGTGGGAGATATGAAAAATGTTAAGCACTCCTTACCCACTGTCACCTTTCTGCTTTAAGATGCTCTCTCCATATGATATTTTCCAAAGTAAATGAAAATTCCTGAGTAGAGTAAGAAATATCAAATCAAAGTACAGTGGTACCTCGGGTTACAGACGCTTCAGGTTACAGACTCCTCTAATCCAGAAATAGTACCTCGGGTCAAGAACTTTGCTTCAGGATGAGAACAGAAATCGTGTGGCAGCAGTGCGGTGGCAGCGGGAGGCCTCATTAGCTAAAGTGGTACCTCAGGTTAAGAACAGCTTCAGGTTAAGAACGGACCTCCAGAATGAATTACTGTAAGTTCTTAACCCGAGGTACCACTGTAGATAAAAGTTCCACTGACTCCTTCATTTGAGTTTATTAGCTGCTAACAATTTGAGAGACATTTCACTTTGAATCAGAAAGAACTGTTGTAGACAACTTGTAAACCAAACTTCATGTTTAGGCTTTCAAAATAAGGAATGGAGATTTGTGTTTGCATCCCTTAGCAAAATAGTAGGAGCATCAACTACATTTTAGAAAATATTTTGACTACTTCCGTTACCAGAGGCTTTTGTTTAACGTTTTGGCTCAATGGCAAAATAACGATTGCGTAGCTCAATGCATAGAACTGTAACTAATCTAACCAGACATACAATATTGATAAAGTTAAAGGGGTCTTCTTGGCAGAGTAATTCTGTATTCACACTATGCTGGGACCAGAGACATGCAGCCACTACACTAGCGGAATGGCAGCTGCATCCAATGTATGCTCAGCCTGAGGGTGGGGGTGGGGGGTAGGGGAAGGATACAACACATGATCAGAAAATACAAAATGGCAGATACACTCACAGCATTCCTGGCAGGTCTGGCCCAAGGCTGGCCCTTTTATTTTGTCATTTTATTTATTTCTCTATCCCATTCATGAACTGCTTCCTATAAAGCATTTCAAAGTGATTTCACAGTGACATGCAGATGTAAGATGTTATTTGCAGGATGCCCTCTCCTGCAGAGCACAGCGATGGGCTGAGTAGAAATCCCAAAACTGATTCTATCATACCCTCCAACATTTCTCCAATGAAAATAGAGATGTCCCCTCCAATATTTCTCTGATGAAAATAGGGACGTCCTTCTAAGGCCCAGTGTTGCCTTTCAGAACTTTGCAAAGAGGAAGATGGGTATGAAACTAGAGCTTGTTGAGCTCTGTCTCCCATTTGCTTTGACTTCACCTACTGTTGGTCTCTCTGCCTTCTGTTCTACCAGTCCCTATGAGCACAAGCCACCAATGGTCCCACCCCAAGCAAAACAATATATAACTGGACACTGTGGAGGCAGTAGCAGGGACCAACTTTTTCTGTTTCACAATTTCAGCTCAGTGCAGGAGATTATAGAGTGTGCTCTGTAACCTTCTTTAATTTTTTTGCTCCCCAAACGGGGAAGCAGACAGCAGGACTATGTTAAAGCAAAAGCATAGGATTGGCTCTCTTCCATAGGCAGTGTAGGCCTGTCATTGTGCCATCACTAGGCCCACAGACCCTCCAGCATCTATCCAGATTTCTGCTTCCTGGACTGCTTGTGATATCTGGGCTGCAGTTTGGCAGTGCAGGTGGTTCCCCCACATAGGGCACTGAGCTGAGGGGGCACAAAATAATAACAACAGCAATCAATATTTTAATGGGCACCTACTCAACGTATGCAAGGACAAGCTCCGGCAGATTGAGCAGGCAAGACCAAGAGTAGGTCTGACGGTCAAGAAGGCGGTTTCTGCACATGCTGTCGAAGTGAGGGGTAGATAGGGCTCATCAGCCTGGGAAGGTAGCCCATATAGGAGAAGGACATTTAGTCAAGGACATTCCAACACCATATTATTTACACCTTTAAATAGACGATTGATCCTTATGTAGCAATGAGGCATTGTGTGGCCTTCTTTAGGCATCTTGCAATTTCTTTGGTAGAATTAAAGTGTCATTGCTTGCTGCTTGCTGCTTTAACCACTGTATCTTTCTTCCACAATGGCTGTCCATTAAAAACCCCCACCTCTGTCTGAAACCATGCCAGTCAGTGTGTATTAGACTATCTTTTTGGGTCAAGGGCCGTATGTTCCTGGGGAGAAAGTGGTTGGGTAGCACATACTAATGGTGGTGTCCAGGCTCAAAACAAAAAAAGAAGATACGCCCCAAAACTTCCTCTTCTCCCCTCTTTCCCCCCTTCATTAGTCAGCCATCCATTCTCTCTCCCCCTGCCCCTACTCTCTCACACATTCATAACAACAGACATCTTCATTCATATCTCTCTCTCTCTCTCTCTCAGAGCTTGAGGGGCCACCGCAAAGGAAGTGGATGGCCACAAGTTGTCCCCATGTGGTATAGTCAATACTGAGCTAGATGGATCTGCGATCTGACTTGACTGTGAACCAGCTTCATATGTTCTCTGTATGCAAAGTAGGTAAGGACCTGAGTATATTGTGTGTATACCCACAGTGCTCCTTTCTGTTTCTGTTGCTTCCATTACTTTCTCCTGTGAATACTCTGTCCATTGACATCACACAATATTTTTACTGAATGTTTGAGGGGCCTGATCTTGAAGATTTCCTCAGGCCTCCCAGACCTGGCACTGCTTCTGCAGAACATTGAAGGCGCTCCAATCTGTAACCCCATAATATGGGATTCCTGGCTCTGGGTGATTGGCTACCCTTCCTGCTGCTGTTGCATTCTTCACGGACCTAGTGTTATGCCCTCAGCTTTTGCTGTATAAGTGGCTGAAATGCTCCCTGCCTAAGTAATTCCAACTATATTCTGCTAAATGTGAACCAGATGTTTCCCTGACCCCCTTTTGCTCTCAAGTCAAGCTGCTTCTGTAGCTTTTCATAGGCAGGCATTCAGGTGACTGAACATCTTTCCCAAGTTATCAGTTTATTCATTCCGGCTTCACAATTGCCATGAAAATAAACCTATTAGCAGTGCTTCAAGTGTCGGCTTCACACAATACTGCCTGATCAACCAAACACTTCTCTGTTGCTTTAAGCTACTCATTGTACAAGCTATAATATCATTATATAAAGAAAACTAATGAAAAACAAAATATATGTGCAATTTATCAGATATATATTTATTAACACTAGGGATTAGAGAACCAAACTGGATGCCAACCGTGTGTGGGAAGGGGATGGTGGGGGCAGGAAAACTGTGGGAAAGGTTGAACATTTTGAAAGGGAAAAGGGTTGACTTTTGCCTCTTTGTAGTCAGGGGTAGGGGTGAGTGAAATAATAACCTAATATCCCACAGTAAAAAAACCTCAAAAAACCAGATGGTACCCAATCACTGTGTTTCCTGTGCAAAACTCCTCCCCTTTCATTTTTGGCTGTGCAAAAGACTCTTGGAAAGATTTGCCCTTCGTGGCTCGCACAGACTAACATATAAAAGCTGTTAGCAGCTCCTGTAGCCAGCCGCTAGAAAGCTTGCAAAGTTTCTCTCTCCCTCTCCCTCTCTTTCTCTTTGAGGGTTTGTAATAAGACACACACTTCTTTCCAAGGGTTCACACTAGAGCACAGACAAGAGCTGTTTAACTTGGAAGGACAATACACTAGGCTTTTTGGTTCTGCAAAGAGGTAAGCCATTGAGCTCTGTCAGTTTGCTTTGCATGCACTTTTTCATTAATGCACATCCTATTTTGCTGGACTCAGTTATTAGCCGTACGAGTGAGATACTGTGTTTCCATGTCTTCTCAGGTTTCTTGCCTATCGCTTTGCAGCTGAATATTTATTGCGGGTGTAGGGTGGGGCGGGGGAATGAGTGCAAAAGCACATTCCTAATCACCAGGATGGATGGAGCTTTCATTGTCAGGCTATTAGATGCTCTATGCTGTAGTCAGATGGCCAGTAATAAATCCTGTTGTATGTTATAGGGCAATGTGTGTATATGGTTGCTAGGCAACTTGAGACAAAGCAAGGCATTATTTGACGCTCTGGAAACATTATAGTTTGAGTTACCTTATGTAGATGACTAAACAGCTGAAGAGCTAGGTAAAAATACTATAAATAAATAAACTCAAGGTTGGGGGGAACTCATCTGAAAGAGAAAGATATTCACATTGACCCCAGTCACATTATTTAACCATTTTCCCTTCACAGATCTTCTGCTTACCATAGTGAGTTGAAGTAAATCTTTGCTCCCCACCCCACCACCAGGGCCCAAAATGACAGTAATTTCTGCCATCAGTGGTACCCTCTTGATTTCCATTCTCTGTGAAACAAGTGCAATAGAGTCACACAACTCCACTGAGCTGTTCTTGTCAGCCAATAATTACACGGACGCTGGAGCGGCCTTGAACATTCCTCCGGATTCTGCAAGCCCTCCCAAAACCAGGAGGAAACGATATATTTCACAGAATGACATGATTGCCATTCTGGATTATCACAACCAAGTCAGAGGCAAAGTCTTCCCACCAGCATCTAACATGGAATATATGGTAAGTAGACGTTCATTTACTTCCCGACCCACTCCTGAACTTTAGAAAGTATAAAGCTGATGTTTCATGCTACTAAGCCAAAGTGGCGCCAAACCGGATGTTGTTGGACTATAACTCCCATCAGCCCCAGGCAGCATGGCCACTGTCCAGGAATGAAGGGAGTGGTAGTCCAACAATGACTGGAAGGCAGTACATTGGCTACTCTTAATATTACACTATGTCATTTCTCCCCCTCTCCTTTCCCATCCTCTTTTAAATTAGACCAGTGGCGTTTGAAACCTCTCTAGAGCTTTGAATGAACAGAATAACCCAGGCCACTTATGACACAGAAATTTGGGATAGGGTATAATAGTGGCTGCCATGCCACTATTACAGGTCTGTCTTCAGTTGTGCATATTCTGAATGCCAGTAACCTCTTGCATTAATGCTGCATTGTTTGTATCACTGCAAGGTGCAATACACATTGGTGGTGCTTTCTCTATGAAATACACAAAAACAATCAGAAACTTACTGGAGCAGGGGTGGCGGAGCTTTTCAATCTTCTTTGCAATGGTTTATCTGAATGTAGGGTTCCTACTATACCTAAAATAGCAGAATGACCTCCATATGTTGTTGAATTCCAGTAGTCATCATCTCTAACCAGCATGGCAAAAGGGTCAGGGAATGAGGGAATTTGAATGAGGATTTGGGGCGACTTACTCATATTAATTTACAGCACTTCACCCATAGTTTAGTATCCATGCTTTAATGCTCCCACGGTTTTTAAGGGTTAAACATAACCCTAAAAACCATGGCAATATTAAAGCATGGATATTTTTTAACACTCCGGTTATCATGATAAGTTTGAGTGACAATTGGTTTCTGCTTTTGAGAGAGAGAAAGCCAGGAATAGAAGGAAGTATGTTAACATTGCTATGGGACATATTAACATTGCAGACTTGAACTATGTGAACTGCCATTCCCTCTTTCCAGGAAATCATGGTGCTTGTGGTTCTGTGAGGGATATTACTGATCTGTAAAAGAGAATTCTCATCCTGTTCTGCAAACTACAGTCTCCAAGATTCATCCTTCCTTTTTTTAAGGGAGGGAGGGAAAAGACATGGCAGTTACCTAATGTGAAGCCAATAAAAGTTTGTAGTGGATTAGCTTAGGTTAAGTTCTCTTCCACTGTACCTAACAATGTAGGCTATTGTTCAGGAAAGCTCATGGTGCATTTAATAAGTGCAACTATGCCACAGCACGTTTGAGTTTTCTTCACCTTGGTTATCTCCTGATACAGGGACAGCCCTCCACATGTTTAAGATGACAACCCCATCAGCCCAAGCCAGCATAGCCAATGGTCAGGGATAATAGAGGCTGTAGTCTAATAACATCTGGAAGGTCACAAGTTTCCCATCTCTACCTTAAGCAGTGGTGTAGGAAGGGGGCGGGGGGGCGGTCCGCCCTGGGTACCACTCTGGGAGGGGTGACAAGATGGCCATCCATACATGTGCCGTCCGTATGGGCTGCCTCTCGGATGGCGACTGTACGGGCTGTTGCGCATGTGCAGTCCATTCGGAATGCCGCTCAAGTGGCAGCCCGTATGGCCGCCATGCTTGAGTGGCAGCCCGTATGGACTGCGCATGTGCAGCATTCTGTACAGAGTGTGCATGCGCGGGATGCCGCAGATGTGCAGTCCATATGGGCTGCGCCGCCCCAGGTGCCGGAGAGGGTTCTTCTGCCACTGACCTTAAGGACTAATAATATAAACAGATATAATAGACCCAGGATGAAAACAGAGAGAGGGATAGAAGGGATCAGGGAAGAACAACTTTAAATTGGAATTCAGCACAAAACCGCCTAGAATGGACCATCCTCAGCTTATCTAGGAGTTGGGATATAGATCATAGATTTCCGCCACCTTCTCCTACCTCCTTGTCCCCCACAAAAGGCAGCTAATGTTGCATGGCCATTTTGAGGAGCACATGGCACCGTTTCCTTGTGGTTGAATCTCATACTGCAGCAGTAACATCTAAAATCTATTAATTGTATGGGATGGTGGATCACCTGGTACTTTACCGCTCCCATACAAGCTGCCCTGATGCCCCACATGACCCATCCAACCCACATGCTCACCAGATTTTTTTTAAAAAAGTGATTGTTTTCTTTAGCTTTGATATTAGAAGAGCATCAAATATGCAACAAAGTAAACAAGAATAGAATGACTTTCTTTGGCTGAAATCCCTCCTTCCTGCCTCATCACTAAAATAACCACCCCATTCCCAGAAAATATAAATTCGATATACAGTGTTGTACATCCAGGTCATTCATCTTCTTTCTACAACATCACAAGAGACATCAGGGGAAAATATGTAAAACACACAAACACATGAAAACGGGGATCAGAGAGAGCAGGAGATAATCCCAGTGACTGAGCAAACATGCCAGTAGCCCAAGTGTTTAGTCAATGCATTCTAAGGATGGATTCCTGATCCTCTCCCCTCCCCCAATGTTTGCAAAGCTTGCTGTCTTGTATAAGCAGTCTGTGTCTTAGAAGCCAATTTTACCATTTCCGCCATTCAGGTTTGGATTACCTTTGCTGTCGAAGCTTTTCATACCAGACATTTGGCAATAAGTGCAGCACGCTGGAACCAAGCTTGCTGAATGCCAGGAAATGTCCATGTTCTTGGAATGCAGCCAATCATTAAGTTTGTGGATTCTAAGGGACCAGAATACCTTGTGGTATTGACCAAAAAAATTTCAGGACCCAACAGAATCATCAGCTGAGTGAGATAGACCCAACCTTAACTGTATTCCCCACAATGTAAACTAGAAGAAAAATCTTGCTTAACAAGAGTTGGGGCGAACCAGTTGATATGCAAGGAAATGGTTGGTTGAATCGGTCTTGTAAATCTAGCAATTCCCATAGTTCTCTCTATGCATGAAACCCTTGCAAATATATAATTGCACAACCAGATTTAGAGCTCTGTTTGCACATTAAATGTTTGCTCTTCCTCCCTTATTAAGTTATAATGTTGGGATGGGGGGGGGATGTCAGACAATAACCCAGTGTTCAATGAAAGTGGGAAGGTGTTGAGAGGATGTGCAGTAGCCCTGCTCCTCTTTAGCTGCCACCATTGCAGGGAGTCCTGGCACATGCTGTCTGTGTAGTAAAGTAAATGTAGAAATACCTTTCTCACTCACTCTGAATGCACAGGTGTAGGGGTGAGCTAGCTCTTGTGTCCCAGTGACCCATCTCTAGCATTCCTTGAACTTGTTGAGAGGTTGTATGGTAAAAGGTAAAGGTAAAGGACTCCTAGATGGTTAAGTCCAGTCAATTCGACTGTGGGCTATGGCACTCATCTCTGCTTTTAGGTCGAGGGAGCCAGCGTTTGTCTGCAGACAGCTTTCTGGGTCATGTGGTCAGCATGACTAAACCACTTCTAGCGCAATGGGACACATTGATGGAAGCCAGAGCACTCGGAAACTCTGTTAAGCTTCCCGCCACAGCGGTACCTATTTATTTATTCAAGTTGGCATGCTTTCAAACTGCTAGGTTAGCAGAAGCTGGGACAGAGCAACAGGGGTTCACCCCATCATGATCTAGCTCTCCAAAATTTCAGACGGAAGTCTTTCCCAGTTCCACCTGGAGATGCTGGGCCTTCTTCATGCATCTGTTCTGCTGCTGAGCTACAGCTCAGTGAAGCACTTCTGAGGGTACTTCCCTGTGTGTCCTCATTATTCCTACTTGATGCATAAAACTTGTAGCTGACAAGATTCTTATTTGATCTTACAGGTGGTTATGAGGCATGGGGAAAGAGTTAACTTTCAAGATATGTTGCAGTCATGTTATTTAGGATTTTATAGTTTATGACCTGCATCTTAAGTTGTCCCTGGAATGCTTCAGGAAGCCAATGCACACTGGAGCACCTGCCAGTAATGTGATCCTGCCATTCTAGCCCCCTGGAGATGAATTACTATGTACTACAGCAGCTCTACATATAAAATTTCATTTCTTTGCAGCTTTCAGTGAATGCATTTTAATGTAACAAATAGGCTGGCTCAGCAGAAATTCTGTTACCTACTGAGTAAAGAATTCACATAGTTCTGAAAGGGCTATTGTTTTTACAAGAATAATGTTCATCTAAAAGTCACAGGAGCATCTTAGATGGCCACGTATTGCTAACAACATCAGCAATATTGACTTATTTTGAGTAGAAAATTCAGAGGAAGGAAGGAAGGGCATAATTCAAACTTAATTTTAATAGGTGAACCTTTTTAGGAATAATTAACATATATAATATCAATGGAGGTTGTTTTTGACTATCTATAATAAATAAGTAAAAAACAAAACAAAAAACCAAGCAAATCTTCCCTTCAGGACTAGGAGGTGGTGCTGCTGCAGTGTCAAGTTGTCTTGCTCATGCTTCCCCATCTGAGTTTTGGAACTGTGCAGTGCCAAGAAAATCACTTCAAAAGCAACAGTACTTTTCACTGCAGAGTTCAGGAAATTAATCAAGATAAACTGTGGAAATGAAAAGGGGGGAACCCAGAACTATAACAATGGATATTTATTTAATCAATTTTGGAGAGAAAATCTAAGTTACTTGTTCTACTGCTACAATTTCTTTTCAGTCTCCAGTTTAAGATCCATAGGATTCAGCATCTCTATAGGAAACTATAGTTTCCTAACTACATTGCAACACTCATTATTTGAATCTTGTCCACTATTGTAGAGAGCTTCACTCTCTATCTTTCACATCATGGTGGTCAATAGTGGGGAAGAGGGAATTCACCATGTGATGGTCAAGTTTCATCTGGTGAAAGTTCTACTAAACAATAAGGGAAGGAGAGTGGCAAATGCATCACATAAAAATATAAGAAGAGCCTGCAGAATCAGGCCAATGGCCCATCTAGTCCAAGATTCTGTACTCACAGTGTCCAAGCAGATGCCTGTAAGAAATTGGCAAACAGGACTCAAGCACAAGAGCATTCATTTCTCCTGTGGCTTCCAGCAACTT